AGTCAGAACAAAGATGCCTTCATCAACTCCGTTACTTACTGCTCCTCTGCTACTCCGTCTACCCATACGGGTCCAATGCTTCGTCCTTGTACCCCAACTCAACCTAAGCCTGGATTTGTTCTTCAATCCAACGACTTGCGTGTATATTCTCTTCGTCCTCCGAGTCCCAGTCCTGATCCTGATGACGATGACGATCAATCCGAGTTTGCACCGGGTCTATCCCAAATTGTCAGCAGTCGTGGCAATTCTGAAGGTGAACTCGAGTTTGTTGACGAAGACGAAGACCAAGAAGAAGCCGAGTTGCCGATCATCGACTTGACAACAAGCCCAAAAGGCAAGAAGGCTGCAAGCAAGAAGGCTGTCTTCCCAAGCAAGAAGGCCAAGCGTCGTCCCAGAGGCTCGGGTGCATCTATCGGTATGTCTCAAGGACCTCCAAGACGAAAGAAGCGGGCTCCTAAGGTAAGTTGTCTATTACCTATTCGATTCCTATTCATTTCTTCTTCTCACCTTTATGTTTCACTTTTCTATTTCTTTCCTTTACATCCTATCATTCCACCCACCAAAACACAGCCAAAACCAACCGAGGCTGTTCCTGATGTCATTGATGTCAATCAAGAAGAATCCTCAGTCGAAATCGTTGACACTGGGGCTCGCCGTCTTCAAATGCAATGAGTTAAGGAACTCCTGGACTTTTACTGTCCTCCTCATCACCTGCCTGGTGAAGTAAGTCTCAATTTCCCCTACTCGACCAACCCAAACAGCCCAATACTAAACTTGTGTTCTTTTTTCTCTCTTTGAAGTCTGGTGACGACCCTCGAGCTTATAGGTGTCGGTGGTGTCATGGTGTTTTTGTACGGGGTCTCCGTACAAACTGGAACCTATACGCCCATCGTGACGGCGCTAAGGGACGAGCAGCCTGTCCTCATCGATCCCGAGCCATCAAAGCTGGCTGCAGGCTACCTTTGAGCTGGGCTCAAGAGCAGTCTGAAGCAATGATTGCTTTGAATGAAGCAAACGGTCAACCTACTCTAGACGCCTTCCTCTCCCAGACCACCTTCAGCGTTGAGTTATGCAACACGGTTCTTGTGGTGTGGACCCTCTGGCACGCTCTCCCTTTCAACAGGTTCTATGACATTCCTTTGCGTGCGGCTTTCACTCTAGCAAATTGACGAGCGGTCTTGAGAACTCCTACCTGGGCAGCTCGTGCAGCAAAGGAGCTCTATTGCACTTTGCAGTCGGCAGCGTTGGCTTTAGTTTGTGTAAGTCCTATTCTGCCTTACCTTACTGATATCTCGAGTTGTTTTGAGAACTGACCTTGCTTGTGAACAGGACAATCCAAGCAAGTTCTCCCTTGTCCATGATGTATGGACCACAAAGGGGAACCGGTATGCTTTCATT